TCTCCAGCAGGTCCGCCCCAGCCTGTACTGGTGCCTGGGGTTGTTCCTCCCCAGGTGCAGGACCCTGCACTTGCCCTTGTTGAACCTCATCAGGTTCCTCTCTGCCCAGCTCTCCAGCCTGTCCAGGTCTCGCTGAATGGCAGCACAGCCTGCTGGTGTATCTACCACTCCTCCCAGTTTGGTGTCGTCAGCAAACTTGCTCCTCTCCCTCTGTCACCAGTCCCCACCAGTAACCCCAAAAGCACCATGGAGGGCCTGAATAACACAGATCCCACGGGAGCGTTCCCTGGGTGAGGCAGGAGCGGCGACACTCACCGACATTCATGCCCAGGTTGACCCGGAGGTCCACGTCCTCCGCCCACGCGTCATGGGCTGGTTCCTTGCACAGGACAGGGAAGATGCCACGGTAAAGGTGGGCCTGGCGTGCTGTCTGGTCGTTACGGGTCACAGCGATGATGGGAGCCCGTGGGCGGTACCGGGATACCAGGTGCGCTGACCTGCAGGGAGAGCGGACACGAGGTGACGCACGGCCCAAGGGAGCACAAGCAGCAGCGAGGTGTCCCCATCACCCTGGATGGCCACAGGAGAGGCTGGCAAGAGCCGAGTTCAGCTCAACGCGCTGCTGAATTCCCAGTTCAGCGACTGGGCGGACCACCACCAAAGGCCATCCCTCCGTGACAGTCCCATTCCAGTCTTGTGATGAACGTCACCTCCCCCACGAGTTTGGGAAGTGCCATCTGCATGTTTTGGTCCCCAGAACAAGCCCTCCCTTGTCTCCGTTGCTATGTTAAGATGGCGAGGTGCCATTTACTCCGGCCTCTGCCAGCAGTCCTCGGCATCTCAGTGGGGGTCCCCACAAGCTCCCTCCACTTCGAGGAGCGCCCGGTCTGCGGGACAGAAAGAGCCCGCGCCAGCAGCTCGCCAAGGAGGAAGCCACTTGCCTCCCAGCCACGTTCACTTGCCAAAGCCAGGGAAGGGGCTGGTTCCTCCGCACCAAGCTCTGCTCTTGCATGCGCCCAACAGGAAGCAAACACAGGCAGGGCCACAATTTGTACTGGGAAGTTGGGCACAGAATTCTTAAAAGGCCTTAACATAGCAAGCACCACACACTGGGTGGGGACTGCGACTTCCCCTGCTCTGGGCACCGCTTACAGAGGGCGCCTGCAAATAAACAGAGATTAAAACTACGAGGCCATGACATTTACGGCTCTGCGAACACGCCAGCATCTCCACTAGCTTTTGCAGCCTTGTTTAGTGGAGCCAAGCTCAGCAATACTCAAAGACTGTGGCTTATAGGAGGCAGTAGCAGTCTGCTCGCAGCACCTAAACACACGTGCCAGCTCTCAGACAATCTGCCCCACACTGTCCAAGCAGCCTCCCGGTAGCTCAAGGAGATCCAGGTACTCAAAGGCTGTAACAGAACCCACGGCTAAAAATATTCAAATACCAGAGTTCAGATCTCTTTAAAAAGGTCAAGCGTAAGACTGGAACCTTTGATAAAGAAACATTAGAAGCACGAGGGTATCCAGAAACTCTGTGCTCTCAGTCGCTTCTCATCCCCGCGGGAAGCGGCTGCTTCAGATCCCTTTGAGCTGTCAGCGTAGGTGAGGGATTCACCGAGGGTCCGGATCTTCAGGTAGACCATGCCCAGCGCACATCATCACATCTCTGCTGCGGCACTATTTCTTTGGTCCGAATCCAGTGCAAGAAATTCAGATCCTCTTCCAGAAAACAGACTGAGACTTACAGTCAGACGTGCTTTGGGAGTGGGCAGCCTAGCTCCTCCAGATGAAAAAGCTGACCAGCGAGGCTTTGGCTCCCTTTTCACCACTGGAAGAGCGAACCTCTCCTCAGCGCTGTCACTGCCGCTGGACAGAAATCCCAAAACACGTCGTTCCAGCACAGCGGCACTGCTGCCTCTCACCTGCAGCCCAGGCGCTGGGAGCGCAGCCTGCTGGGTGCCTGCCTGCTCAGCGAGCTTACTCGCAGGCAGCCATCAGGAAGCCCCTCAGAGGAAATGCCCAACGCTTTTCAGTTTCCCTGTCGAACAGTCCTAGGCTAAGCTGACCCTCTTCACCCTTTGGGCTCAGGCCAGCAGGGCTGGTGCCTGAAAGGTTCAGCAAGGGACCAATAATTTGGATGCTGTTACGAAAGACCAAGGCCTTGATTTAAAAAAAAACAAACAAAAAAGAGATTCTGCATCCACTGAACTTCTGCCTTACTGTTAAATCGAGGATTTCTTGCCCAGAAGTCTGAATCCATGCTGCAACGCTTATTTTCCCTTGACTCTTCCTCCCAGCACCGCTGAGATGCCCTTCGGAACAGCAAGGGGAGGCAGGCTCAGTGCTGACGCCACGCTGGCAGAGGCAGGCTGAGGAACTTGGAGACTGACGTTTGAGATGTCTGCCCATCTCCCGAGGAACCAGCACTGCAGGCAGGCAGCCTGGGCACCTGGTCGCTGGCAAAACCCGGGCTTCACCATTACAGCTCTAGTCTCTCAGAGCCATCATTCGCGAGTCTCGTTCCCCCACCCTGTCACAAAGTCAGCTTGACCTGAGGGAATCTGTCACCTCCTACCTTCCAGACTTGGTGAGAACAATAATGGCCCCGCTGCAGCACTTGAAGGACGCTTCCACAGCGCCAACAGCAGCGGCCTCCGTGGGATCACAGTTGAGGGCAGTCAGACGACGCAGTTCCTCAAACAACTGCCTGTGAAAGATGGCAGCTTCGGCCTCCCGGGCAATCTATAAGAGCAACACGCGTTCGGGAAGACAACACTCACGTCAGTCGCTCGGGGCGGCACAGGGTAAGGCGAGGTGCTCTATCAGCAGATGTCACACAAATACCATCGGCTTTTGACGTTATTACAAGTCGTTTGACACGCTGGTTGATGGCTGCAACCCTCAGCCACCCAAACAGCACAGCCTTATAGAGGAAGCATTTGATCCTTGAGGTTTCTGGTCTGAATTGGTGGCACCTGCTGAGTCCCCTCGCCCTGCCGAGCCCACACTCAGGTGACACTCATGCCAACTGCCAGGCACTCTCACTCTGCTCCTGCCTACCTACAGTCCCTCCCTGCCACTGAGACGAACTCGGCTCAGACCGCAGCAGTTATGCAAGGCTGACACCATAGCAGCAAGCTGCTTGCTAAATATTTGCAGTGTTAGAACAGAGTGTGGGTTTTTTTTTCCCCTCAAGGAAACAACGGGCACCAAGCCCCCTCTCTGAGCCCTACCTGCCAGACTCAGTCAGAACTATCAGGGCTGCAGCTAAGCACTTAAAAGAAGCCTCCACTGCGCCAACTGCCATGGCATCGGCAGGGTCCCTGTTGTTAACACTGAGGCGGAAAATCTCTTCGAACAGCTGACGATGAAACATTGCGGCCTCAGCCTCACGAGCGATCTGCAGGCCCGAGTCAGAGGGAAGGAGGAGAAAAGAGGAAAGAAAAGAAGGAAAGATAGACCAGAGTAACATGAGATCACGTTAATTTTCTTAATTGTCATAGTAACACATGCAAGAGGATATTAAAGGTCAAGCGGTGAAACTCTTTGGCTCTCAGGTTGTGAATTTGTTGGACGCAACAGAGTCTAACATGCCACAGCCGCGCTGGCTGGTCCACCACACTGCGTTGCTGGCAGGCCCTGGTCGCTGGGCAGGCGCTTCGCAGGTGGCATTCTCCCTATATTTTAGGGTCCTTTCAGAGCAGGCAAATGCAGACTGCTTTTCAAGGACGGCAGCAAGCTCCACACCTCCTTCATATTCTCCTGACACCACGCAGCACTGCTGGAGCCGTCTTCATGGAGCCAACACGCAAGCAGTGCACTTCCAATGTCACCCTGAAGCTGGGAGACTGTCTCTCGCAGCTTCATCAGATTTAGTTTCGCTTCAGAGCCAATACAGATTTAGTTAAACTTGCGAGCCAATAAAGTTGCACCTCCAAGTGCTGTACCAACTTCCCTTTCGGTAACAGAGAAATAAACAGGAACAAGTCTTCCTTATGGGGTTGTCACACCACATGTGCTGGGGTATTCGTACAGCGCCAGACTTGGATGGACGAGAGGTGCAGAGGCACAGTAAAGGGCTTTCCCTTCTGACTAAGCACCTGCAACAAGTTCAGCAATCTATTCCATCCAGCACATGGGGAATCACTCACATTTAAAGACAACTTTCATCTCAGAAGGCTGCATTAGCCCCTGACAACCCGATAAAGAAGGCTTGCAGAGACTGGAAAAGCATGCAAAGGTTGATCATCTTTTCAAGGACAACTCCATTCAGTTACTCAAGAAAGTGAGCAGCCGCTCCACCAAGTGTGACGAGTTGATGTTAAGCAGAGACTGAAGTGCCCTTAAAGTGAAAGCTTTGCAGTTAGACCCCTTCCAAACAAGAATTTTGGTACTCTAGCATTAATGAGTTATTTTATGTGATGCTAGGAATTATTCCTGTTCCACAGATGTCAGTTTAAGCCAAAGTAGTTAAGTATCTTATGTCTAAAAATAACAGGACACATGTGACAGGCAGGAACAGCAGTCCAGTGCCAGCTCTGGTCCTAAAGCAGTCAGTTTTGGTACTGCTGGCTTTACACTTGCCGTCAGATAAAACGGAAAAATTTGCCTTGAAACGCTTCCTCCAAATGCAAGAGCTGGTAGCCACGCCATTTATCGTCCGCTCATGGTCCAAAGGCCGGCAGCTCTGCGCAACACGCAGGGTGAACCTGCGTGTAGAGGGAAGCCTGCACTCCCCAGTTGTAAGCGAATATGCGTAAGCACGAGTCTGCTCTGACAGTGGCTGCGGAAGGGCACAGCAATTCTGAACTCCTCATCACAGCTAGCTTTACTCACACGGAGTGGCTAGAGCGTTTCCAGCAGGAGCACAGGTAGAGATAGCAGGGTGGAGGTGGGAGAAAGGAAAACGGAGCAGCTATTTGATCCTTGGTCCCATCAGACAGAATGGCCAGGGCAGCATTTGAAGACAACTGTGGATTGTGGACTGGAATTGAAGGAAGCGCACTCCCACAAGCAGGCCATAGCCTGCCCAATATCTGGAAGCTTGCTACTCAACTCGAGGCACAAGCCGGTTTTGTCACAGAGATGCCAGCTACTGAAGAGCAAGCTCCTTCCTACGAGGCTCGCTGGGAAGGGATTGCTACGCAAAACCACTACAGAGTCCCAGGCCAGGGATAGACAGGATAAGTCTTTTAGAGAGGTGCAAGGATACAACATAGCGCAGAGCTTGATCGCTCTCAGCATCACTGCCCATGTTTGCTGTCTGCATCTCACTACAGAGGGAGCTTTACCTGGAATAATCCTGTGGCGGGACTGGGTAAACAAATGCACAAACCCAGACTGACACCAGTTTCAGGTTGGTGAGTGCATACAGGAGCTGCTCTTTACCCAGTGCTCTCTCCCTGCTATGACTGCTTCAGATGGAAATATTCCTCTGCTCTGGCCACGCTGCAGATTTTCAGACCGTGCTTGTTCAGGGCACTGTTGCTGGGCAGGGCTCCTCTCAACTAGCACCAAGTGATTTAGTTCAGATGAAAGATCCTCACTGTAGGAGGACGTGCTCCTATTGTCACAGAGTTGGCACCTTGCTGTCTGTGCCATGTCACATTAAATCAAGGGAATCTCTATTTGCTCCGCTGCACAGAGGGTTAAAGCCCTCAGTATTTCTGCAGAGGCCTAGCAGAGCAAACACACCATTCCCAGGTCTGCAGGAAGGGCAAAGCACGGGCACCGGATCCTGAGCTCAGGCTACAGGTCCAATACAACCTGTCCGAGTTTAAGAATTAAAGGCCAGGATGGAAACCCTGGTGCAAGGTTTGCAAGTTTCCAGCTCTTGGCAGACAGTCAACCCTCGTGATTTAGGCAGTGAACACAGAGGAAAAACCTTTTAGATGCACCATTAGTGTTCAGCCTGTAAACCCATAGTCACTGCCCGGCAATCCAGTCATATTTTGCATTTGCCACATGCAAAAAACACCACTCCGCACTGACCAGACAAAGGCAAAAGATAGCTACATAATGCACTGCAACCAAACACTAGCTGAGCTGATTAGTCTACATAACCTGCACTGCAAATAAAACTGGTGAGAGTTATCACTGCTGTGATTCTTTATTGGCTGAAATGCGAGCTGGGTGAACTCAAAGCAGAGCAGAGATTTCTGGCAGTTCAGGCATGTAAAAATATGGTGCTGTCAGTACTGGTGCAACAAACACCCCCAACACCAAGCGCACCAGGTGCTGAATGCAACAGTGCTGTAAATCAGACCCACGAGCCTCCCCGCCCCCCGGAGGAGTCAGCCTTTCATTATCTAGAGATAAATGGCTTAGGCTGTTCCTTGACCTTGCAGAAGTTTAAGGCATTTAATACAGCAAAACAAATAGGGCATTTGGAGAAACTCATACCAAGGTGACAGCAAACACCCCTTTAGCCTAGCCTAAACAAAAATTAATATGAGAAATCTGAAGTTTTAGGTTTCAGAGCACTGCGGAGCAGTTCTCAGCTCTGCCCGACAATAGTTCGGAGCGCACAAAGTGAGGTTTAGCATCACAGAAGCATTAAGGTTGGAAAAGACCTCTAAGATCATCAAGTCCAACCGTTTCAGGCCCTCAGGACCGTGGTGGCTAGGTAAAGCAACACCCACAGCGGGAGCATGAACAAAGAAATTGCTACTTTGAACTGTTAGGTGCTGCCACCTAGCACCAGACACACGGAGATCTTCAGGTGCCTGGCTCAGATGGAAGATACCAGGCAACAGAGCACTGCTGCTTTCAGCTGCAGACAGGCTCAGAGCAAAGGCAGTACTCACAGCGTGCTGCATGCGCACAGCCTCCAGCGGGTAGTCTCCCTTGGCAGTCTCTCCAGAGAGCATGATGCAGTCTGCTCCATCCAGGACGGCATTAGCAACATCGCTGCCCTCGGCACGGGTCGGGCGAGGCTTCTTGATCATGCTTTCCAGCATCTGGAAGAGAACAAATCCAAAGGAGTCAAGACACCGCAGAAGGAACCAGCTGCTTTTTCACTAGTGCACTTCAATACACTTTACAGACAGAGCGGAAGACGGGATGCAGCCTTAGGGCCGTGGGAGAAGAGCTCTCCCTTGGGTACAGGGCAGTGAGGGGCCTGGTCCCTAACCAGCTTGGAATTAAAGCACCTACCAGCGAGAACAACCACCCATTTCATTTTGTGCCTGTTCCACATTTACTCCTTTTCCAGGATTTTCCAGGAGATTTAAGCCACACAGCATCAGACACAACACTCCTACTTTCCAATTTAACTTTTCAGCACAGGGCTCAGTCCAAGGAACTCTGAGCTCTTTAGAGCAGCGTATTTGCATTAGACATCTATATGGAAAGCTCAAATCCTCAGGTGCTCAGCTCCCCCTCCGCTGCAGCTCACCACTGGGCAAACATCACTCATTTCCTCATGAAACACCATCCGGGGCAGCGTTTGTCGCATTTCAGTAGCGATACAGGAAGAGGAAGGAGCACACGCCGCTGTAAATGCAGAACCTTGTCTGATGACCACAGTCTAGAGCCAGGTTTCGCCTCTGCAGCCTGCACACGGGGCAAGCACAGCCAGGAAACAGGCCCTGCCAGTGCCCGAGGGCTGTCCGCACACGATCCCTGCTGCAACCAGCAAAGCTGAGCACCAGCTCTCCCTCCCTCGCAGCTCCCAGGATAACGAGACAGACCCTTTGCTCAGGTCCTTCGGATACTGCAGTGTGGGCGCATCTTCTAAGACACCTGGGAACCTCAGCAAGTCTTCTCTGTTAAGACACAGATGTGCTGCTACAAATTGCAAGGCTAAGCATAACCTATTAATTTTCCCACAATTTGTTTAGTCTGCCCAAAAGGCTCATACTGCACGAAGTTCCAAGAGGCAAAACCCTTCAGCAGCCACACAAGAGGTCCCACAACCTTACTGGGGAAGATCACCAACACATCTTGGCACCTCACTCTCTAGTGAATGCCGTCAAGCCACGACAGCTACTGGCCCTGCCAGACTTGGGTAGTCACCAGCTAGCACTGCGTTTTGAGTACCTGAGTGGCACAGATGATGGGTTTGCCAGCCCTATTGCAGCGCCCAATCATCATCTTCTGAGCGAGGAAGACTTTTTCCGCAGGGATCTCGATTCCCAGGTCACCGCGGGCCACCATAATGCCATCGCTGGCCTCCATGATCTCATCAAACCTGACAGCAAGAGAAAAGGTTTGTTACCCCATTTGTTCCACAAAGCACCTTCCCATCTGTTCTGTCCTCCCCTCTCTGAAAGGGAACATGGCTCTGGAGCACGACACGCAGCTGTGCTATCAGCACATGGGCTTTCCACGTGCCGTTGCGGTATCCTGTAATGTCAAAGTATGAGAAAGAACAACAAGATCAAGTCACAGCACACAAAAAGTGCTAGGCAAAGCTTTCTAAAGCTATACAAAGACAGACCGAGAGGGGCGTGACCTAATCCGAGATATTTCAGTCTGGTAGTTTGTCACAGACTTGGCGATTCCCAAGCATTACCTCACTGATTTGCGTCCAGAACAGCAAGTCTGTTCAGGTTTGAGCTCACACTCGCTACAGACTATCGCAGATTTTTCAGGGATGCCGGGAGTCCGTGACATTGTCCCCTCAAGCTCAGGGCCTGTGATAGTTACACAACCCACTGCTCACACTGCAGCTACGCCAAGTCCCACGCACATAGTGTTAAGTGACAGCCTGCACTACCACCTCAATACTCGGACTAATAAGTTTGCTGCTGCTGGCAAGCCAGAGACCAGGAGTCAACCAGGAGTCCTGACGACAGCACGAAGGGGCTGTCTTCTTCTGTTGATACAGGGCAACAAACCTGAAGCATCACCTGCGTGAAGCTCACCTGCGCACACCCTCGTGGTTCTCGATCTTGCTGATGATCTTGATGTTCTTCCCCTTTTCCCCTAGCACCTTCCTGACAGCATGGACATCAGCAGCTTTGCGGATGAAGGAAGCAAACACCATATCCACATTCTGCTCCACACCAAATTTTAGGTCCTGAATGTCCTTTTCAGAGACCGCAGGCAGGTCGACAGCGGCGCCAGGCAGGTTCACTCCCTTCTTGCTGCCAAGCATGCCACCGTTCTCGACCTCAGTCATGACACAGTCCTTGCCTGAAACAGATGCGTTCCCACGGTCAGTGTTTACCAGAAAGCTCCCCGCTGCCAGCTCCCACACCACCTCCCTGCCTGAGAAGAGCAGTGCCAAAAGCAACCGCACATGATAAAAACACACCACCGCTCTCTTCATCGGATTCATGTAACACACTAGCTTGCAATTTACACGTGGGAGCACAACAGACCAGTACAAAACCATTTCTATGCTGTTGTCGGAGAAGATGCCAGGAGCCTGGGACTGCCTCCCCAAAAAAAGCTACCAGGTTGTGCTTCTGCACACTGGAGCCCTGTAATACAAAACTGAGCACCTCAAAAGCTACGCGCTCTGGGAGTAAAGGCAATACCTCGAGACCAGAGCAGCTCAGGCAGCACTATAAAGGAAGTATCGTTGAACTAACCTTACGCCTACATTACCAGTTAAAACTAGTTCTGCCTCTAACCACAAAACTCAGGGCCTATGCTGTAAAACCAGTTAAATCCTGCATTAAAAGTATGAATTAGCCTTTCTGAAGTATGAGTTAGCTAAACAGGCTTTGATAACGAGCACTGGTATGTCCCTACCACACATTCACCTTTGAAGAAGGGTTTTAGGTGACAGTCCAGTAAAATCTAGCTGAAGTTATCTTCTGCAAACTTGCTACAGTAGAGAAAGTTTTGCTCAAAGTCTCACTACAGCATTAAGAACCATGTACTCCTTTACTGAGTAGAGAACTGCAAGCTAAAAAACATTCAACAGAGGGAAAGCGCGAATATGTATTAAGAAAGAAACAAACAGGCATAGCTGGAACGGTTGTTACCTACCTTTCTCCTTAACCAGCAAGGAAATTAGACCGTCATCCACATAGATTTTGCTGCCAACATCTACAACCTTGATGAGATTCTTGTAGTCCACCCACAGCACATTCTCATCGCAGCTCTCCATGAAAGCATCATCCAGGGTGACTTTGAGCGATGCACCCTTCTTCAGCTCCACTTCCGCTGTGCCACTCTGCACATCAAAACATGGGTTTCAGCAAAACCAGTAAAAACCAGCACAAAACCACCTCCCAGCTTGCAGCACTTCATCCCAGTTTTTGGTAGCTGGCTCATCATTTTGAGACATTTTCAGTTTGGAAAAGGCCACAGGCATAAAGCACTATCTAGTCTTACATGGTAAAAAAAGTGGGAGAGAAAAAAAAAAACCCATCTACTTACTCCCTTAATGAGTCCAGTTCTGATTTCAGGTCCCTTGGTATCCAGTGCAATAGCCACAGGCCTGTAGGTGATGGGATCAGAGGCAAAGCTCTCTGTAGCTTCTCGCACATTCTTGATTGTGCCCTCATGATACTGGCAAGGGAAAAAAAAAGATTGAAGCGTTCAGCCTGTTTCTACTCCACCACTTATGAAAAAGACCATGACGCGCCCCAAACACTGCCCAAGCTGACAGCTCTGCTCTTACATTAGGCTCAATTTCAGTCGTATCTTCAGAATTTAATTCAGACTGAGCTTCCAGAAAAGCAGAGTGTGAGGACACAAGGGCCTTTCCCGCACAAAAGCGGAGTCCAGCAGCTAACTAGCTGTGCCTTCGGTGACCCCAGTTCTAATCCCAGAAGGACAACTTGAGGAGACACCTGGGCGCTTGACTGAAGTGATTTTCCATCAGGACATACACGCGCCATTTGAAGATGGCCCACCGACCAACCGGCCTTTAGAAACAACGCTTCCGAAAGCTTAGCTGCACGTCTGCCTATTCAACACAGCAGAACATCAGCAGTGCTGGCAGCTGGATGATCCTGTGCATGGAAACCCTGCTGAACGCCAGGAAAACGGCGCAGCTAAGCTACTGCCACAGGTGGCTCTTCTCCTACTCCGTTCAGAGCACAGAAGGGAGGATGCCGTCCTCTGCACTGCCAACTCCCAGCCTGACTCCTCCTTATCAGTCCCACAGGTGAGCAGACAGACAAGCTTTTTTACAACTCTTTGGCATAAATTTCCCCTAAAGATAATGTCCTCCTAGAAAATCCTTTATCTATTTAAGTATTTGCATCTTATTTCGAAAGCCAAAGCAATCACAGATGGAAGTTCAAGACTCCAGCACCACACACCCTGCTTTCAAACTTTCACGTGCACAAGAGCATTTTGCCAACGTTGCCTGTGTCAGCAGAGACAGTTCTGTGGCCAAACTCCTGTCCCAACTACCCCAAATGAGCTTCAGATGGCCAGCAGATCAGTTTACTGTACTTGCTTAAACAACAGTAAGAGATAACCTTGACTGCAAGTTGTGTAACACTTGACAGTTTTGCAGATAAGAAATACCCCTTCCCCTCCGTGCCACAGGCCAACAGTGTTTGACCTGGCTCACTTGGAAACACCTGGCTCCCCCCATGCCACAAGCCCCACACACCGACTTCAGTTTCGTGGGGACGATAATCCAGCACCAGGAAGCTGTGGCCAGAAAATGCCATGCTAATGATCACGTGCATGCCCTTGGCCAGAGGTTCACTGCAACTGCTAGCTCTTTAGAGCAGGAAAAAATATTTAGCTTATTGACTTGAGCATGCAAGCTGAGATGGAGAATGCCCTGACCCTTCCATGCACTGCAGCCTAAACGGATGCAGTACAGAAAACCTGCCTGAACAGTGCTACTATGTTTATCTGGTCCCAGTCACCTGGGATTTTTCCTTTTTAGTTTGTTGCTGCTGACTAGCTCGCTCCTAGGGAGTCTGAACTCCTGAAGAGTTACAAATGCAGGCAGAACTGGAAGTAAAAGCAATTTCTTTTCCTACATAAAAGGGTTGCAGGCAGGTTCTAGAGCACCTCTGTTAAAGTTGAAGCCCTGTTGAATGCTTTAGGGTGGACACAAGAACTGAAGAGCTCACAACAGATGAAAACCCTTTAGGGCTTCCCTAGAAACGGGAGCGTTTTGGAGGAGCCAGGAGGGGACTCAGACTGAAGACTGGCTACGGCTGCCAGGGAAACTCAACAGGAGATGACAGCAAGACCAGACCCTGCCGCAGTCTAACCTCATCTGTACGAAATGCGCAATTAGACCTCACCCGAACCAGAAAGCCACAGTCCTTGTCCTCGACCTCAGCTAACAAGTACACAAACCACAGGAGCAGCTCCACTGGGCAGTAATGGTGTGAAAATTCCCAGTTTCAGCCTGGCCACCAACTCCCTGACGAGCCACCCAGCTGCAGCATTTGACTACTGAGAGGCAGAGTCATTCCACGCTTCCCTTTCTTCAGGCATTCTGCTCACTGCAGCCCAGGCACCAATGCTACCCCGGGGTACTTAGTCAAGGCCTGACGATTCTCCACAGTTAAGCACCAGACCTTTCGATTCTGACAACGCCCTATGGCCTTTAAAGGCCACGAGGGCGAGAGGCCAAGCCGTTACACACCGTGAGGCTCACGGTTCAGTAAGTAAAGCCACCTTCAGCTGCTACTGGCTACTGCCTGACATTTTGAAAGCTGGAGGGCAGCCAGGGTGAAAAAACCCAGTGGGAAGGCTCAGGGCAGCATTCTAGGCAACCTGGAATGGGATCCTCGGCTCCTCCAGTATCGCTGAGGATCTCATCTATTTATATCAGTAAGGACCCGTCTGCCACGAACAGTGTTGATTTCTTTTGACCTTGTTCTTAGCAGCTCACCGCACCACCTCCCAAGTACCATGGTGCTAACCTCATGACTGCCAGGAACACAACCGCAACAGCTGGTTAGCCGAGCAGACCCATGAGTTCAATTCTCTCAACTAAGCACAGTAATTACTTCAAATCACTAACAGTTTTCTTTTGAGAGAAGGTTATTCATTGATCACTGGCTTGCAAAAGCCCCAGCAATAAAACAAGAAGCGAGACAACAACTGATAGCTCGTACTCCTGCAGAGGCGCACAGCAAAACAGGAACAGATATTCCCGGCTCCCACCATTAACCGAGAAGCCACAGCTTTGTACAGCTAACGGCGGGGCATGAGGAAGGACCGAAGGATTTCATGGCAAGCAGCTGGCACAGAAGTGTCTGATATCAGTTACCTGGCTCCCTGATACAGAGATGGGTGTGGAACTGACTGGAACCGCTTTCAAAATGATTCAGAAAGCGCACCTTAATGTTATCAGCAACTACACAGGCTCAGTATGTACAACCAGCACACCTTCCTGAAAGCAGAGCTAAGTTTCACCTTCCCACACCACGGCTGGTCTGGACTAAGCTGGATGTCCCTCTTCCAGGAGAGAGAGGGTCAGCAGACACACACACGGCTCAGCCAGGGCCATATCTGCTCAGACACCACCCTCACCTCGTGGGTGCCGTGAGAGAAGTTGAGGCGGGCAACATTCATTCCAGATTTAATCATTTCCTTCAGCTTCTCCACCGAGCGGGAGGCTGGGCCTAGGAGGAAGAAACAGTTTGAATATTAACTTCGTAAAATTAATGAGATAACCCACATATGCCAGGCTGTTATCATGTGGAAGAGGAAAAAGTGTAACGGATACAGACTTGCTCAGCGCTGAAGCAGCTCATCTCTACAGTATCAAAGACTGTTTTAACTTGCCTTGAGGAGTGCAGCAGAACCTGACCAGTTTTGATTTATCCAGCTACTGGATTCACTCCTAGCAATAACGTGGGCTAGGCAGACATGGGAAAGTCGTGTTCTTTCAACACACAAGTTCATCCCTGGCAAGGGATGAAAGCTGAAGCCTTCCCACAATTTCCCTAACAAGTTTCACCAGCACAGGAGTTCATAGCTGCAACTCTCTCCTATCTAGGAATCACCTACCGATGGTACAGATGATGCCAGTGTTTCTCGCAATGGTTGGCTCTGAGTCTATGTCCAAGCGGCACATGTGCTCCAGGAAGGTGTCTGCCATGGCGGCGTGCAGCTGCTGGGTCTGGATGAAAGCGGTCCCCACATCGTGGTGCTTAGACATCGTCGCTGGAATCCTGTGTCTAAAAGAGAAGAAAGCGATGCCAGGTTTAGGAATTGCCCAGACTTGCTCATCAAGCAGAGACACCAACACACCCACGTGATGAATATGGAGGTAACAAGAAGGCTGCTACTGGGTCATACTATCTTTATGTTCCTACTTGAGAGTCTTAGATACAGGCAAGACACACTTCTATTTCCATGGCATCCCCCACGTGCACCACCCAAAGCTCACCTGCCTTCTATGCAGATGTTCCCTTCATAGCTTCTCTTCATTGCCAGTCTTCCCCTGGAGCTACACAACGCAACAAAATTCAAGCACTTGAGTGCACAGGCAGAGATTCTGCCTCCTCCCTCCCAGCTCTCGAGTCTTTCTCCTACAGGCCTCGACTGCATTTCCCATCGCAACTGGGGACCGGGGCAGCTCGGCGCTAGCGTGACTGCAGGTACGCTCTTACGCAGGCAATCTTCTGCCGAGAAGCACCTAATCACGACAAAGTCCGCCTAAGCTTAAAATCAATCCTTTAAGCCTTGACAAGCAAGCAGACTTGAGTTGATTAAACACAACATGTTGGCAGAGAACATGTAAAAAAGTGAAGATTGTTTTTCAACATGCTTAAGGTCCCTCTGCAAACCAAAGAGGCTGCAGGTCTCCCCTGTCCCCTGCATTTCCCCTCACCCAGGGCAGCAGAAAGCCACCACAAGGTTTCAGACTTATTATTTTTTCCAAGCTTGGATTAAAAAAACCTCTCTAAAGTCAGGCTGCTTGCCTCTACAGCACTAGAGCATGCCCACAACAGCAGGAACAGCCTCCTGTCCCAAGACAAAGCTGACCTGAAGCTTAACCGTCCACTGGGATGGGAGGACACTGCTTTCCCAGCAGCGCCGGTGCCCCTGGGCATTTCCAGTTACACACCTTGGGTCACACCACAATAATTCTGTTCTCAAGTAGTACGGGCAGCTAAAAGCCGTTTGTGCTCTTCAACCTGGCCAGGCTAGACTGCCGGTGTTCAAAAAGCCTCTGGTAAGAGTGATGCAAGGTGGCTACCAGCACAGGCTAGTCAAGCTTCCAACAGCGGTTTGACTTCAAACTTCACCCCGCGGGCACGCAGAGGATACTGAGAGCAGGCTGCTCTTTCAGCATAAGCAGCCTTCACCTACGAGAGATGCCTTCAGCATGGCGCTGACAGAAACACAAGCTGCTGCTCAGCTAAAGGCATGGACAGAGCAGGGGTTTTGTTCCACCCACCCCAAGAAGACAAAAAAATAAAACCAAATAAATCACAAAATGGTGCTAGCTGTGCACACTGGCTAGTTCAGTGTATTCATCTTTGAAACAGAGGCACTAACAAGCCCAAAAGCTTTGTCAAAGCTAGCAGGGCTGACCAGAATGAAGCTGTGCCTCTAAAGAAGAGGCCGGGAGATCCCCTGCCAGCCGGCCATGTGCCCTCCCAATGCTGCAGAGGCTCTGTTCGCTCGCGCCGATGCTCCTCCCCTCAGCCACTTCTGCTCCGCAGAGCTTCCGCAGAACTTCCCTGCGTACGTGCAGATCGTGCGGATACTCTCGCAGGCAGCCCTGACTCACCATAGCTTCACTCCCATGCGGCATAAAGGAGTCAGCCCAGCGAAAACCATAATTTGTCCTGGCAGAGCCTCCTTTCCCTCAGCCCTGCCAGAAGCTGCTGATTCACCGGAGTCAGTACAAGAAAGTCTGCCCACATGAAAAGCTCGACAAAGTCCCATTATTACAGGAAAACTCGCTGGTCAGACCTGAAACATTGTGTTTTAGCCCTCTAACACTTGCTGCTGCATCCTCCAACACCTGTGGAGCAGCGCCGGCTTCTCTTGATGCCTCAAAAAAATAAGCCTTTGCTGGGAATTCACCCCCACGTAAACATGGCTGAGGGGGTCTGCACAGCTTCTGGGAACGAGAGGAACCCAAAACAACGGGACCCTGAGACAGAAACTGCATACAGAGCATGACTTAGAGGTTTTTGAAAATAGGCATGCAAGTTCTCCCTACCTCATGGGAATCCCCCCACCCACTCAGGTCATCTGCAAATAATTTTAACCCCCCTAAAGTCTTTAAAAATATATAATGAGAAAGGAAAGTTCAGTTCTGAGTCACAAGTTCCTTTCACAAGACTTCCCAGCAGTTCAGTGAGCTCCGAAAAATTTATCAGAGACACTGTGACCTTGTCCAGGGGCGAGAGCAGAAACGCAACAGCCGAAAAGTACCCCAGATACCCATCTGCCTGCAGCACCGTGCCCTGCTACCAACAGCTTCACTTTCAATACTTCCTCCTGCCTCCCACTGCCATGTATTTACAAAGCATCGACTGAATTCTGCTGGAAGGACCAGCCTCATAAAAAACATCAGGAATGTCTGGCATTTCCCACTACTCCAGACTTGCTTTTTTTTAATATCAAGCAGAGGAGCAAGAACTTCAAGGACGCCCGAAGACACAGAACACCCAGCCTGGGCTGAGCAAGGAAAGCAGGGAAGCAATACCCTACAAAGCCTGAATGTTTCCAGCACTGAATAAATCTAAATCCCCTCCTCAAGGAATAACAATTAAATCCCCAAGTTTATTACTTGGGCTGCCTGTGCTTCAGGCAGGGCATCCTAAAGATGTCTGGTATCTCCCCGGCTCTCGAATATTCCAGAAAGAGCCATCTGAGGTCAGGATGACTGGTTCGGCAGTAGCAGTAGCGAGGTGACGATCTCCAGACAGCTCATCCTGCGATTCATGGGCTGAGAGAAACCCTAAACCCACAGCACCTCTCTGCCCTTGGGGATGGAG